TTGCCTTGGCTGGACTGATGCACAGAACCAACAGAACGCTGTCTCCAGCTGCAGGTCTTCCAGTGCGCCCACGCCAGCAAGTGCCTGGGACTCTGAGATCCAGAGGAGTGTGCACTGCGGGGTGGGGTGAATGGCAGCAGGGTAAATGCCAGTTACATAAGTTTAATTTATCACTGTATATTATATTTGTTAATTGATTTTATTCAACTGCCCCTGTGGATTTAAATAAGTAGTGACATTTCATCTTAGTCTCTTATACCCTGATTTTTAAGTTGTTAAGTAAAGGAGTGTTAGCTCTAATTTAAGTATATTGGATGTATATTATTTAGAATTAGTATTTGAGTTAGACCCATGCCACAGGTTATTATTAATTATTATTATTACTATTTAACGGGGTTTATTCCTGGAGGTTCCCCAGGCACGCCATTGAGTGTGTGCGGGTGCCAGCCAGGTGGAGGTACCACCAATTTTAACTTCCTTTAGGAGTAAAGGGACTGCAGCAGAGGGGTGACTAGAGGATTCCCACCTATCCAACAGCACCACTGGGATACTCAGGATCTTCTTTAATGTCAGCAACATCAGGCGCCCAGGCACAGGTGAGTGTTGCCTGTTCCCGAGTAACCCAGGGAAGAAAGGGGGGTTACACTATGTTCAGCACTTGGAGACCGAGGCTCTGATCCATTAAAGTCAATGGAAAAACTCTTATTGATTTCAGTGGGCGCTGGATCAGTCCCTGATTCAGCAATGCACTTAAGCACATGCTTAAAGTTAAGCATGTGCTTAAGTCTCATTAACTTCACTTGTGCATGTCCTTAAGTGCTCGGCTGAATAGGAATGGCCTGGATCACATGCACACATGCTTTGTCGGGTCACAGCTCATAAACACCATGACATTAGTATCCTCAGAAAAAAAAAAGGAGGAAAAATAAAGGGCACGGCTATTTTCTGAGCTGCCAGGAGTGCAACACTGAAAACCCAGACCACATCCAAGCAGATTACGAGGGGCTAAAGCACTAACGCTGCTGCACTTACCTGCTGACAGACCCTCAGCATTAATCTGAAGAATTCGAAGTGATGGTCCAATGGCTCGAAAGTCGAAGGATGGGCCATACATCAGGGTCGCAGTCAGATGGCACGTGACCAAGATTCATCACCGAATTCGGTTCACTCGCTTCCCCTGGCTGGGCACTGACAGGGAGTGCGACGTTGCATATCCTTGGAAAGTGCCTGCTGACTTACTTCGCCTGCGGGCTACCGGCTCTTCACCTGGCTGCTATCCATGCTATCAAATGGCTGGACATGTTGTGCATACCCTGAGAGAGACCACATCTGAACCTAAGTAAAGATAGAGCGATAGATAGATATATTTTTACTCTTTTTGCTGTCCTAACTCTGAGCCAAAATGGCCCAAAGACATTTCCCCCCCCCTTTTAATTTGGAAAAATTAAATGCGCTCATGGGCTGAGACCTTGGAAGCAAGTTCCCTGCCTGCAGCAACACCATTTTTGTTGATTAAGTTATTAATCCCCAAAAGGCTGAATTTCTAAGAAAAAAGCTGACACAGACACCATGCTAGTGGCACTTGTGCATGTCATAAATGAAGATTTAACACCAAATAATGGAGGGGGGGTGGGGGAGGAAAGGCAAGTGGATCTGGCTATCAGGAAAAGCTTGCTACAGGTGAGCTCTGTTAGATGATGGATTAGCCTCCGAGGGGAAGTAGTGGATGCTCCATTGCTTACACATTTAAAGTTAGATTAGACAAAGAACTGGAAATATACTATCTATCTATCTGCTTCATTCTGCCCCCTTTGACAAAAATATTAATTGACTTCTATTATTGCGAGAGTGAGCCTTTGCTCTCTAAATTGATGTATCTATCTAATCGTCAGTGTATCTAGAATGTCCATCTAAGCACTAGAGGCAACATGGACAAGATGTCATAAAAGTCTTTTCCATCTCCTCTTTAAGAGACCAATGTTGATTAGACTGTGTTTCATTCATTTCTGAGCCCCCCCGGTATGCTACATGGGCTTGCATTACTTGTGGACAAACGACGATGAGTCTATTGTTCAGAGTACAACCAAATCCCATGGACTGTCATCATAACAACATCGTATGGGCCAGCAATCGTATGAGCTGTGTTCCTCTGAGGTTTAAACACACAGATTTTTCACCCAGTGGTAAGAACAATATTTTCAGAGAAGCCATTTTTTTTTAAAGTGAGCTCGAAGCGTAATTACCCAATAAAGTGCTTAGGGAAATAGGGTTCCTGAATTCTTGGCTTTGTTAGGCAAGCTAGTTATTAAAGTTTAACAAATGACACCAATATTCTATTTCAGCAAGTCTGCGTCAGCTACCATAGCTGTCCACTCCCACAGCCCTTTGAGAGTGCATGTCCCACTGAGATCAGTGGGAGTTTTTCCTGCCATGGGACTGCAAAACTGAGCCCTGGTGCAAAAATCAGTGTGGAACTAAGAATATGAAAACCCATTTCTACATATGCACAAAATATTGGGGAAGACAAAGTGCAGACCTGGCCCAATGGTGCCCTGTGGAAAAAAATACACCATGCTGCTGCCCCCGTCTCTTTAATGAGGTGGCGGTGCCCTGCTCAGCTCAAGATGAAGCAATGCATGCTGGGAGTCGTAAAGCCTCCATTGGCCACACCCCCATATTAAAGTGACAGTGGCAGCAATGCGATCATTTTATATCAATTACAAATAGGTCTTCGGGCTCCTGATAAGTTGCTACTGTGACCCTTGGTTGGGCAAAGTGTGAGCATCAGTGATATCAGGGATGAAACATGGACTAGAGCCACCCTAGGTTACTCTGGCATCACCCGGGATCAGAGCCTTGATTTGGACCCTCTTTTATATTACAATAGCACCTGCTTGTCTAACAGTAGCACCCAGAAGCCGCAACCGAGATCTTGGCGCCACTGTATTAGGTGCTGTACAAACACACAGTAGAAGACAGTAGGGTGACCAGATATCCCAAGTTGATAGGGACAGTCCTGATATTCGGGGCTTTGTCTTATATAGGTGCCTATTGCCCCACCATTCCCTGTCCAGGTTTTTCACAATTTCTACACCTTAAAAGACAGTCCCTGCCCCACAGAGCTTACAATTTCCGTAGATCCAGACAGAGGGCAAGAGAAGCATTGGAGGCACAGAGGGGAAAGTGACTTGCCCAAGGTCACCCAGCAGGTCAGTGGCAGAGCCAGAAATTGAACTCAGGTCTCCTGCTGTGTTTATACAGTACCTAATAGGAAGGAGCCCCACAATCTTGGTTAGGGCCCTAAAAGTGCTACAAACAAACAACAACAATCATAACAACTCTGAACGGATGGGTCACACAAGGCCAATGAATGACTTACATCCAATTTAAGCCCTCTTTGGGTTGACCAAATCTATAAGAGGCCAGGAGGCGGCGCATCTCCCTTTGGAGGTGTGCCAGCCTGCTGCCTTTGGAGCACTGGCCCCACCTCAGCTCCACCCCGAGGCCCTGCTCCCACTCGTCCTCTTCCCCTTTGGCTCCTCTTCCCATCCCTGCTCTGCCTCTTCCCCCGAGGCCCTCCACACCCGCTGTTCGCTCCTCGGAGGAGGGGGCAGAGAGGAGCAAGGGGCAGGCCTGGGGGGCCTCCAGGGAGGGGGCAAAGAGGCGTGGGCGGGGAGGTCTCAGGGGAGGGGGTGAAGAGGTGCGAGCAGTGGGCGTGGGGCCTTAGGGGAAGGGGCCGAGCAGGAGCAGGGTCTGGGGTGGAGCTAGGGTTGTCAACTTTCTAATCACACAGAACCGAACATGCCCTGCCCCTTCTCTGAGGCCCCACCCCCACTCTTCCATCCCCCTCCCTCTGTTGCTTGCTCTCCCCCACTCTTATTCACTTTCACTGAGCTGGGGCAGGGGTTGGGGTGTGGGAGGGGGTGAAGGCTCTGGCTGGGGGTGTGGGCTCTGGGGTGGGGCTGGGAATGAGGGGTTTGGGGTGCAGCATGGGACTTAGGGCTGGGGCAGGAGGTTGGAGTGCAGGAGGGAGCTCAGGGCAGGGGTTGGGGTGCAGGCTCTGGGAGGGAGTTAGGTGCCGGAGGGGGTTCTGACCTGGGGCAGGGTGTTGGGGTGCATGTGGGGGTTCAGGCTCCACCCAGGTGGTGCTTACTCACGTGGCTCCCGGTCACTGGCGCAGCAGGGCTAAGGCAGTCTCCCTACCTGCCCTGGCACAGCTCCGGGAAGCGTCCAACATGTCTGTCCCCAAGGTGGAGGCGTGGCCAGGCGGCTCCACGTGGTGCACACTGCCCACGCCTGCAGGTGCTGCCCCCGTCGCTCCCACTGGCTGTGGTTCCTGGCCAATGGGAGCTGCGGAGCTGGCGCTCAGGGTGGGGGCAGCGCGCGGAGCTTCCCTGATCGCCTCTGCACCTAGGAGCCGGACATGCCGGCTGCTTTCAGGAGCCGTGCGGAGCCAGGACAGGTAAGGAGCCTGCCTTAGCCCCACTGTGCCGCCAACTGGACTTTTAACAGCCCGGTCAGTGGCGCTAACCGGAGCCGCCAGGGTCCTTTTTCGAGCAGCTGTTCTGGTCAAAAACCGGATGCCTGACAACCCTAGGCGGAGTGGGGGTGGGCCTTTGAGGGAGGAGGCCAAGTGGGGAAGAGCCTTGGGTGGAGTGGGGGGGGGCAGGGCCATAGTCCAGGTGCCAGTGGCGCCCCCCCCGCCCACACTTCTAGGGAGCTTCCGGTGCTTGCGCCCAGCCTCCCCAAATGCAGGAGTCATCTGCCACCCATTACCAAATCCACAAGGTTTTGTTGCCCTTAACTCCCACTGACTGCAGTCTCACCCGATCAGGCCCGGTGAGGCTTTGCAGTTGCCTAAGGATTTCCCCACTTTTAGCTCCCTGACCTCTGCATGGGTGTTACCTGGCTTTGTCCTCCTTTTGCCTGTCCTCTAGCTCCAGATGCTTGCAAGACAAATCTTGACCGTTGGACAGGTTTCCATGCCTGGACACAGCCTCTGGCACTCATTCACTCCTTCTCTTCAGCCTGCAGCAATGCCAGCAAGAACACACTTCCCCCTACACTGCCAGAACCCCATTGTTCCCCTGAAAGCACTAAAACGCTGTCACAGCACCCCCGCAAGGTACAATTTAGCTAGAACGTGGTATTACCCTTTTGTCAAAACGAAGGTAAAAACATCCCCCGACAGTTCTTGATTTGTTTGTTCGGTCCTTTGATCAATGGGATAAGAAGAAAAGCCTTCCGATGGATTGCAGCTTCCCTGGGGCCTCTTTTGTGGTCACTCACTGATTGTAAATGCAGATTATCTGAGCTATCATTACGATTGTTATCTGAGCCGGGAGGAGAAAGAGAGAGATTTATCCCATGTTTTATTCTTTTTGTGGCTACACTACTGTTAGAATTTATGTTACGCTTTTAAGGTGGTTTATTTATTTATTTATTTATTTTGCAATATCAGTATTGGGAAAAGTTTAAAAGAATCAATTCTGAATGGCCTTGCTACGCAACAGCTAATGGGGGGTGGAGGGAGGTGTAATATGGTGAGTGCCCCCTTGTGGCCAAAGGTCACTCTCCAGCACTCTGCCTCTATTTCCCCCTCCTCATCGGGCACCACCTCACTCTGCCCTTGTATCAGGGGACAACTGAAGTGCCCATGTTCTCCCCCATGTATGACACGGCAGGGCTTCTCCCCAGCTTAACCAGCACTCAGTGCCATGCCTTGTCTCCTTTAAGTAGGTTTATTTGTCTAAACATAAGCACATAACAGACAAAAAACGCTCTTCGGCTGACCCCTTGTCCTAGGGTTTCACAGCCTCCCCTCCCAGGAGTCTCTGATAATCTAGCTTCTCACAGCTTCCCGCTCCCAGCCAGCAACCTTCTCACAGCTAGTTCTCTGGAACAGTAGCCCTAGGATTTTCCCAATATTTCACCTCGGACTGCAGCCTGAAAGCCGTGGCCGTGATTCACTATTCGCTGATTCACTATAAACTCGTGTAATCATTTATATCAGTGCAACGGAATGTAAAATGCTACCAGGTCAGTAGTGAAGCATTTTACATGCGCTTTGCACTGATGTAAATGATTGCACAAAGTACAGGGCAAGTGTGAATGAGGCAACCTAGTAGTTAGTAATTACCACCCGTCACAGCTGGTAGTCCTCAGATATGCCATGTGATCCTGGCCAGTAACCATAACACCGTGCAGTAAACTATAAAAGCAATGATCTCTATACTGATGGTATTTCTTAACCCCTGGAACATACCTGGAAATGGGAAGTGAGCTCAGAGACAACAGCTGAAATGTAATAAACTGAGCTGGGCCATCATCTCGCGCTCACGCATTACTTCACATCTTAAACAAACCAGTATGTAACCAGCATTCCCTCCAGAAGTGTATCCAAGCCGATCCTGCTTCCACTGAAGTTCATGGCTACGCTCTCACTGGCTTCAAACAGGAGCAGCATTGGGAAAATGGAATGCATTCCTCAGGTGTTAAATATACACACAATGAAGGATGGGCCCAAGATGCAATATTTGAATCCAGGCCTGGAAGAGCTTAAAGGTCAGGTGTGCTTAGCTGTAGGGGTTTGATCAGGCCTGTTTTAAATACATCTGCCATTCGGTAATGATATCATGGAATTCACTCTCTGTCAGAAATGCATAACAAAAATGTGGATGCTGATTTGCATGCCAATTTGCATACACCCTCTCTTTGCAAACTCTTATCTCTGCTGCTGAAATTGTCTGACCTGATAAAATTATTTGCAAAGTTGGGCCTGACCAGGACTTGAATAAGTCACCTCCCCAGAGGAACCCAGAGGCTCCAGGAAGTGCAGTCGGTTATTCCTCTTCCTTGTGAATCCGTCTTGAATCAATACCCCAACACAGATTCAGAGATTTCATGACCAAAAGGAACCACCATGATCATCTAATCTGACCTTCTGTGTAACATGGGCCACAGTATTTCCTTCATGAAGCGCAATAACTTGTGGCTTGTGCTCCTACAAGGACATCTAATCTTGTTACAGCCTAGGAGAGCTCTATTTGTATATATGTATACATTTAGCTAATAGACCGGGTGCCAGTGGATGGTGCTCAGAAATACGTAGCACACTTCCTAGGTTTTGCAGGACCAGTTCGAGGTGTCGTGCACTGTAACTGACTTCCTCTGGCAGCTGTTTACATCAACTCTTCACCAAGACGTCAAGCCATGGAGGATCCACCACATCCTTTGCTGAGCTGTTCCAATGGTTAACAAAGTTCAGTGTTACCAAAATGGCTAATGGCCACTCTGCTGCGAGGCGTGATCAGTCAAACCAACTTCTGCCCCAGGGAGCAGCTGTCGACAACTTGACTCGCTCTCCCTAGAGCGGCAGTGATCCTCACAGGCAATCTGTTCCACTCCCACTGGGAGCAATGCCCTAACGTTTGGAGTACACGTGCATGCTAATATGCTGCATACCTGATGTATAAACACATTCGCCTAGAGAGAAAGGATGATACAAACCAGACTGTTTCATTCAGACTCACTCTTATCAAGGCCGACTCTTCCAATTAATTTTAAGCTTTGAAATGAGGCAGATTCACGTTTAGTGGCACAACTCATTCACCACAGTGACTTTTATTTTTAAAATGGCAGTTAACTAGCCCTGGCACTGAGCAGTACTGGAAGATACAGAAGAGCACTCACATACAGCAATAACTTTTATACAGTTGGCTTCCTGCACTCGGCTCTGCACAGGGGAATGTCAAACAACATCATAGGGTGCGTTGTTTGAAAACAAGACAGAGTGCCCAGCTGCTCGCTAGCACACAGAGATCCGAGGGTGATCATGAAGCGGGGGAGATTCATGACTCCCAGGAGAAATGAGCTAGGCCAAATTTCCAGCTTCCACTTCCGCCAAAACATCATAATAGTGATACAACTTGGCACTTATGGCTGCGGTGTCAGAGCTGCCTGTGGGGTTTGGATGCCTGATTCCTATTAAAATGAACAGGATCGGGGCGCCCAAACACCAAGGCAGCTTTGAAACGCTCAGCCTGTATGTTCTTCCAAACATTTTACACACACAGGCCTAATCCTGCTGCCTGTCCTCTCAGGAGCAAGTGCACTGAAGTGAATGGGGCCGGTTCTGGGTGAAATGTGCCCCAGCACAAGGAGCGTGCACCATTCCTGTCCCTCTCAAGACCTGACATTGCGCCCCAAAGACCTGATCCTCCAGTCCCTGTGCACCGAGAACCCGCAGTGAGTCAAGGCAGGGCCGGGCTATGGTTCTGAGGGGCCTAAGGCTAATGGGAGGGGAGGACCTAAGTATGAATGGCATATTGCAAAAAAAATTACGAAGTCATCAAACATTTCTCTACATACATATTTACCTATTATTTATGTATGTAAAATGAACACGTTTATTCTACTCTCACTACACTTAATTCTCCAACAGATACTTCTGAGTAAGAGGTAGCATGAGGGATGCTACGCTGTCCTTTTCTTAGGGCTCCTTCCACCTAGGAAGTGAAGTGCTCATCTGTCTGAGGGTGAACACTGCAACATTCCCCGTCCTGCTCACCTCTTTCCACCTGGTGCTTCTACCCTCAGCTCTCCACCTGGCACAGTGCAAAGCCAAGCCCTGCAGGTATTTCCCCCAAGCTACACCACATACCCTATCTCACTCTGACTGCAGTCTGGGGCTATGTCTACACTACCGCGGTAAGTCGACCTACGCTACGCAACTCCAGCTACGTGACTAATGTAGCTGGAGTCGACGTACCTTCGGTCGAGTTACCACGGGGGTCTACACCACGTAGGTTGACGGGAGAGCTCCCGTCGTCTTACCTTAATCTTCTCATTGGGGGTAGAGTACAGGAGTCGACTGGAGAGCGATCTGCTGTCGATTTGGCGGGTCTTCACTAGACCCTCTAAATTGACCGCTGGTGGATCAATCTCAGAGCGGCTGTAGTGTAGACATAGCCTGGGAGGCAGCCAGCTTTTATTATGTAACAGAAAACCACTCCGGTGTAAAATCCACTGAAGGAGAAGAAGTAGTAGTGGGAAAATTACATCAGGTGGCATTGTATTTCAGGCTGTCTTGCTCTGAAAACTGTCTTCCAGTGTTGCACTGGCTGAGGACAATGAATTTCTGTTTTCACATTGAACCCAAATATTATTTGTGGGATGATACCCAGTTTGTGTAGTTAATCTCCAGTGATTCACCACCTCAGGCCATTCTGTCACCAAGCTCTTCCACAATTAGAATCCTAGGACTGGAAGGGACCTCGAGAGGTCATCTAGTCTGGTCCCCTGCACTCATGGCAGGACTAAGTATTATCTATTCTAGAATGTGTGATCAGCAGCTCTGACATGTTTTTTAAGCATGGGTTCTGTGTGCACCAGCCCCCTACAGTTTGCATTTGTTTGTTTTAAGCTTTCTGTAAGAAAAAGGTAGCCGCTATAAGTGACACAGCTCTTTAGATGGTTGCCCAGTCATAATATTTAGCACTTCTGTACTATGTTAGCTCTTCAAAATCACTGTACAAACATTAAACAAACTTAATCTAAAGGCTTTCAGCTTTTGAATGACCAGGAGTTGACAAAACACAGCTATTCCCTGTTGTGTTCTCTGTCCCCCTGAACAAAAAGATATAAGGCCATTTTTATCTACCGCTGCCAGGTAGAAGATTTCCATAAGGAGTCCCCCCACTTCATTGAAAATCAGCATCTTAAAAGAACTGTTAAGGATCTTTCAAAAGAACAGTCCAACCAAGGCTGCTGTAGTGACACCCTTGTTACATCAGGTCTGGTGTTTGTTTAAGGCTGGTGTAGAATGAAGGGAGAGCCTCCTGTTTTGTTTGCATGTGTAAATCAAGCAGACCTTGCTTTTATTTTTTCTTTAAGTGCTCAGAGTTTAGGAGAGGAAAGTGAATAAGATTTTGCTTATACCAGGTGTGAAAAAGCAGAAGAGACCAAAATCTATTCTTGTGCAAAAAATCTGTTTTCCCTGAAGTCAATAAGGCTACACAGTTGTAACTGTCAGCAGGATTTGGCCTGTGTTCTCATTCCCTTCTCGAATCACACACATTCCAGGCTTACCCAACATTTTCCACTCGGGAAAGAAGTTAGTTTGAGTTGGGGCAGAAAAATGAGGACT